GAGGGGGAGGGCGGGAGGGGAGAGGAAGAAATGGTAAGGAAAAATAGTAAGGAACGGTTCCCCGAGATGCGATAGGCCGACGATGCGTAACCGGCGCGGCGGCCTGATTGGGCCGTCCGTAAAAATGCACATTGCACCGTCTGGCGGTGCGACGGCGGCGGCGGAATGCAGGGCGAGAGGTAGAGCGGAGAGAACGGAGAGGACCGAGGGGGATCACCGGCGAAAACTTCCTCCTCTCTCTCCGTCGCGCGCACCGTCGCTCCGTCTCCGTCGACATAGGAAGAGAGACGCATAGACAAGGTCAACGCATTAAATTGAAATGTGTTACGTAACCTCGTAAGAGAGTTCTAACTGCAGCTCGACTAGACACCCGGCGATTACGGGGGTGCTCAACTCGACGTCTCCGGTGTCTCGGGCTTCGAATTCGTGCGAACGACATTCGCGCTTCTCGTATTGTGCCCCGCCGCGAAACAGTTCCATCCAGACGTGACATCCTCCCCCCCCCCCCATCCACCCACCTACTCCGCCGTATAACTCTATTATTACTGTTTGAGCCAAACCTTCGACGTTTTTCTCGCTGAATTAAAAAAAAGTTTAATAGTCGCGCGAAACGATTAAAACTACATTTTCAAATGACTATTTAAAAAAAAAAAAATATAGGCAAGAATACACAATTTCGAAGATAGACCTTTCGACGTTTATCGTGAAACTTTGTAGTCTCAAGATAATTATTCACTCCCTCGCGGGAAGACGGACGGATTCGCGGGATGAGTTGGAGCGAAGTGGATGAACTCGAAATGAAGACGCTGTGTGAAAGCTTCGAGGATAATAGCCGGCGGATCCTCGATGCAACCGCGCGCACGACCGTGCGAGAGCGGTGCACGAATGCATCGGCAACAGCACGCGCTCGGAGGACTCTCGAGACGGGCTACGCCAGTGCCGGCACGAATGCATTTACGCGTCTAGACTTAATAAAATAAAAGAAACGCCCGCGCACACCCGCACGAGTGGGGCTGCGAGAGCAGTCGTGGGGAAACGGGAGAGGGCGATTTAAAAACACACAGCTAGAGACCGCAGCGGAATTTCCACCGCGTATCCTTCCTGGCTGAGAACACTATCCTAAACCTGTCCCTCGCGCAAACTTTATTGCGCCTTCGGACTTATCTCTTTATGAGAAACAATCTTATTTCACCCGCGCGAAAAACCGTAATATATCACGGTTTGATTGCGCATTAATCATCACGCCGCGTTCAATCGCTACAGTCAATCAATTTCGATTTTACGATGCTGTAATATAGGTATTACTCGCGGCTATTAAATTTATTCGGAGATCTCGAGAAATTAAGAGTACGAAGCTTCCTATCTAGACATTCTGCGTGAATGGTTGATTACGATAAAAATAAAATTAATCGATCAGGAATTATCGCTTAGCTTGCTAGAAGGATCATAAACGCGCAATTTTCCTGCTCCACTAAAGTTTTTCTTGGCTCTCTTCGACGCGATACTTTTATCGGTTCATCGAGATATTTTTACGTGACGAGGGCAACGTTTCGCTGAGAACGCCGATGCCGACCGTCGTCGGCCGACGTCGGCGGATTTGCCTGTTGTACGTTACGCGTCGAATCCTCCAATTTCCAAGATACTCGCGCATGCTACACGCGCAAATGAATAAGTCGTGGGGAAAAAAAAAAGATTAATCGATATCTTTCACCAACGAGTTTACGTCAAATCGCGGAAAATTTTTTCTTTATTGCATACGTCACAAATTCTCATTCCAGAGATTAAAAGATTTGAATAGCAAAAGAAGGAAAACATCATAATACATTTACTTACGATGTAAAAATGAGCGTGGCACGTGTAACGAAGAATTAAAGATTACAGAAATTGTTTTCCACAGCTTCTCTTGTAAATAACACATAACGTAATCTTTCTTTGATGATTTATGAAACTTGGAATACACAGTGAAAAAATCCATAGATATGAAAGAAAAAAGTTATAATATAAAGATTTGAAATGTATTTATTGAAGTATCGTATATTGCTGGCGAAATATAAATTCATGACAGAAAGAGGAAAAGCGAGGAAAAATGAGAGAGAAAAATAAAGAGGGAAAACGAGCGAACGAGAATGAGAGAAAAAGAGAGAGATATCATATATATTAAGTACACTAAAATTGCAATTGAAAATAATGCATAACGAAGAAAAATATATGGAATATGAGAACTAAATTTAAAAAAAATAAAGTTAATGAATTCTCTAATAATAAATAAAAATAATAGAAATAAAAATTAAAAAAAAATAATTTAAAAGAATTAAAGCAAAAGACTATATAACGTAATATAAACATGATTTAAAATCAATAGAAAGAGAGAGAGAAAGACGCAAAATGCGTCTCGAAAATCATGCGATAACAATTCCACATTAATCTCGCTATGAAAGTATTCGCAATACAGCACATTCATGCACAACACGAGACTGGAAATAAAGCACGAGCTAAGCAATTGTTAAAAGAGCGCGCTTAAAAATAAAGCGATAGAGAAAAGTACACGGCACATCTTATCGTAATGCCTTACCGAATAATAAAGGCCTCTAGGGAGGCTTACCTGCTTGAGGTTACATTTTCTCTAAAAGATACAAGAAGCATACATTGTAATACTAGATATGCGTACGCTAAGCGGAGTACGTGATAAACAATTATAATAAATTTGTGCGACGCGCAAATAGGATTCAGTATGAGAAAGAGTGAAATAATAGATTGAATAAAACGAGATGAGGACTACTTTTCTGAGACAACCATCATAGATAGTAATATTAAGTTACTTTCAGTTTTCACCTTTCCTCGTAATACTAAAAATGATCTTTTCGAATTTTGTTTCAACTTACTCCCGATTTGTGCCCGATAGTTGTTGATTGGCAGTCAGATTGGCAGTCTGTGACGCGTTCTCAATGGAGATATTGGCATTGGCTATGAAAAGCTTTACCGGATCGGGAGTATCATTCTGATACTCCAGAGTATCAGTTTCGTTTCCCTCTTGGAAACCTAGATTTTGCTCCTCGTAGTCTGTAGTCGCGCTCTCGTCGGTGTTATCGTAACCCAGAGAGTCCGCGAAAGCCGGTATCACCCTATAAACGTCGTCTCCAACCCATTCTAGCCCCTCGTACTCGCTGATTTTTCTGTCGGTCACATCGTCCGCATCTTTGACGGACAATTTATTGTCATTCGCTGAACTGGCGAAGTCATCAGTCACGCTGGAAGTCGCGTTAGATGTAACATTCGTAATAATAGTGCTCGTGATAATAGACTCCGGAAACTCAGTCGTGCTGAAGGAAGGTTGATTCTTCGGGTAATCTGGCCTGACGCCTTTAAAATTCCGCAGCTGGTATACTATGGGAAGTGGAGTGTGCCCGGTAGCCGCAGAAGAGGCAGACGAAGAAGAAGAAGAAGAAGTAGACAATGACGAAGCGTGAAAGGAGTTTGCAACATTCCTCGCAGTCGTGTGTCTCAAGGTCGAAGGAATGCGATGTTTCAGACCCTTCGACAAAACCAGGGCGTCACCATCGATAAATTTTGATTTTTCATCAGATCCGGAATCGAGCTCAGAATCGTCGTAGGGGATCTTGAAGATCACGTGGGGTTCCATGGCTCGGTCGAAGTTCTGATGAATGTTCTGCGACGGCTTCTGCTCCTCGGAGTTCTTCGACTCGTCTTCATAATCGAAATTCGCTGCAGGTTCCGACCACGATTGCTGCTGCAGCTCGAGTTTGGAAGCCAAGTTTTCGTAATCGATTACCGCCTGACGATTATAAGCATCAAAGTCGAAGTCTTTGTCGTGAGAAGCCTTCCCCTTATATCGATTCTTCTTCCTTTCATTCCTCGATACGTCCACGTCAGGATCACTACGAGACGATGGCTCAAGTTCCATAGAATTATAATTCCAATGCTTCGCCTTGTCTCTGTACAGATTTTCATCGTAATATTTTTTCCCATCGGATTCCTCCATTTTTCTCAATTCTTCATCCCTTCGCTTATCGAGTTCCCGCTCGCGAATCGCCAGCACTTCTTCCGGCGTGTAATTCAAGCTCTTCAACAGCAGCATCTCTGCTGCGCCGAGATCACCTGTGATTATCTTCAGGAGTGCCTTCTCCAACATTTTCTCTAATCTTCGCGCATTAAAAGGAATGCCTTTGGTATCTAAGACTTCTGAGTATTTTTCATTCTTTTTCAGTAATTCTGATTGCGCAGTATTTACGGTTTCTTCATTTTCAAAATTCGGTTTTTGGTTGACATAATTTATATGACTGTTTTCCTTTCTGTGTTCTGGATAATATTCATGATGATGATGATGATGATGATGACGGTGAGACCACGACGCGTTAGTCGTGATGGCTATCAATAAAAAAAGTACGAAGGATTTGATGCCCATTTTATCGCAAATAACGAACAATTCACCGTCAAGTTTAATGCACTCAAATATAATATTCAATCGCAGCAACGATTGAATCACTCGTGTTCCAAAAATTGAATAGTCTTGTGAGAAATAAAATAACTTGGAGCGCTCTCCAAGAATAATTTTAAACCTGGGTGGATGATTCACTGAAAAAAAAGTGTCAAGCCTCGAAAATTTCGTAAGTTGCAGCTTGACAGCTGCAGTCTACAAATAATCTTCAAATTACCAGGAGAAAGTAACCGACTTTCCGACTTTGAGAAAATCTATCGTGCGTGTTGAACTTTTTCCTCTTAAATCTTCAAAGTCCATTGACGAATAATTCGATATCAGTCTTTATTTCTGATTGTATCTCGCTCACCTCGCAGAATCACGAAGGAAGACGGTAAGGAGGATAATTAAGGAAGTGTTTCACATATCTTCAGGTTCTCCGCGAAGCTTCGTTAAAACTTCTTCAGGACTTGAAGACGTCAGCGTAGCGGGTGGCTCTTGGTGCTCCACCGTGCTGTTCTGTCACTTTTAGCTGGCCGACGCTTCTTCAAACGAGGGAACTCCGAGAGCACGTCCAACACATGAGAAGAAGAAGAAGATGACACCGTTTCGTAACGGAGGCGCGTTAGCAAAATGAACCGTGATTGGCCTGGCCGGCAGTCGCGGACTAAGTTCTAATCGCACGAGGAAGGCGCGAGGTGCGTAAGTAGGAAGGATTCGTAGTATGCGTGTGCACGCTCTGAGCAGTAAGTCTCAACTGAGCCGTGCTGGCCAGCTCACAGACATAATTCTGTCTACTCACTAATTCCGAGACAACCACGAAGCCGCGAGAGGAGACGCGCCGGTGTGTTACTACGATGACTCCTTTTTTCTTCCCTCTCCTCCCCCTTCTATCCCTCTCTTTCTTTCTCCCTCTCGGCCTCTTTCTCTCTCTCCACCACCGTTGCCTCTCACGTCGGCTCGACTCTTTCTCCTCCACTCGTTCAAACCCGGGTAACCCCTTTTCCTCGCGCACCGAAATCCCGCGGAGGACAGCCTTTTCTCTCCTCGCGACGTTTTACCTCTTTCTTCTTCTGCCCCCTTCTTCGCCACCGTTTCCTTCTCTTTTTCGTACACTTTTTTGTATTCTGCCTCCTCGGCGCGAATCTGCCTCCCGTTGATGATTACCGGAGATTCGAATCGAATTGGTCCCTTGACCAAATTTCCGATTGTCCTGATCTTCTTTTCCTCTCCGTCACTTATCCGTGATATCTGTGCCGATCAATTCAAATTTCGCAAAGGTACACGACGACGATCGTCTTGCGGATCATGCAAATACTCACGTGGCAAATGCTCACTCAGAAATCTGTATACTCTGACGTATATACATATATAAGTACAACGTATATATACGTGGCTCTATACGTTGCAGGTGAATATTGTCAAATTTTTTCCTCCTTTCACCGCGACCGCAAATGATGCTGTACGCGCGCGCCGGGCTTTCGCTACCAAAAAATCGATCTCGATCTCCTACCGTGCGATAACTCGATCGAATCGTCTGGCCTCTTTTTAGCCAGGGCACCGTCGCCCTCGTATATTTCGATTAGCGCGAAGAGAACGGAAAGAGAAAAGAGGCTTCTTCTCCTCTTTGTCTGTGTTTCCACGAAGTCTCGGTTGTTCGGCAAGATAGAGTTCCTCTGATTGAACGGCTTCAGAGAACGTTGCGACGAAATGCGAGGGAAGTGACGGAAAAAAAAAAAAGAAGTAGCAGGTATAACGATGTATGGACGGAAGCGCACGAGGCTTTATACACGAAAGAAATGTACAAGGAGGCTCGTCGTATTCGGATGGTTGTTTCAGGGGCAACCACGTGCGACTTTATAGGGTGCCTCCCTCTCCGCTGTCTAGACGAATCGAAAGATATAATCTTTGAATCATAATGTATTGCTTTTAATAAATGCAGCCTCCGCGTGCGTGCGTGAAAATACGATGCGTGGCAACGTACGTCGAGTAAAAAAGAAAAAAAAAAAGAGAGAGAGAGAAAAATAGGCGGCGGCCGTGACATATTCAATTTGCTTCCATTTGCTTCCACGTGCGGAAATCTCCATGGAAATTCACAAACTTTGATTGTTTCTAATTATCACAATGATTCAAAGTTAATCAGCGCGCGGCGCGATTTAATAAAGAATCAAATTAAAACGTAAGGATCGAGATTTAAATTCAATGAACCCAGATTTGTACTGAAAGAAGAAGAAACTATTTATGCATTTTCACAAACCGGCTATTTATTTTTAATAAATATATTGAATTTAAATGAAAGAGGTATTTAAGTGAAAACAATGTCATCTGTAATCTATTTTTACGAAGAGACCGGGCTATCATACTTGGAAACCAATTTGCGACATAATTATTTTGATGGTCCAACAAAATTATTTTCAGACCTCTTCGATCTTGCAGCAAAATCGTTCTTTCCATGTACAATATTATGAGCAAAGTAAAACGTAACGTATATTAACCTTTAAATAAATGTATCGTCATAAACACATAGAAGAGAAAAAAATAAAATGATTGTCGTAAACAAGTCGATAAATAGAGACTAACGACGTAACTACTTATTCATCCCTGTTCAAACCGGGCTAGTTGACGTGCGGAGGAGCACGTGTGTCGAAGGAAGTGCATTTACGGTGTCTCGGACACACACCCGTTTCCCATGTCTTACGCATGATACGCACTTAAATTACATACGTGCGACTTCTGTAAATCGAACGTGTTTTTCCTAAAACCGCCTACAAACTTCAAAATGCTTCCTCTCGTTCGTAAAACTGTATATAACTGGCAAACAATTCGAATAAAATTATTCTCATCGAATGATACAATATCAACTAACAATCCTATTTCACTTCAATAAGATTTAAAATTTACATATATATTGTAATGTAATAAAATTTATAGTAAATTTTATTACGTTACAAAAATTAACGACATAGTTCCTTCACTTCAAAAGTGATGCAATTAAAAAAATATGATTTTTTATTTGTCACCATAAATGAATTGAGTGTATAAAAGTTACTCTATTAATCAAAACTCAACTTTACAATCCGTTCTTAAGATTTTCAAAGAGATCGTAATATCTTCTAAAAGAGTGATGAATTTTAAATTATGTCATTTTTGTGTCATAAATAAAAAGGAGAGTCTTTTACACCCGGAAAATGATAATTTTTTGATGATTAAAGTTTAAAGAAAAAATTGTTTCGCTTTGAATTTAATCATTTTAGCTCATCAAAATAAATTATTAGTGATATGTATTTCTAAGTTACGTTCATTTTTTATTAATCATTCAGGGGTTTGTCATATTTTTATAAGATATCTTGTCACGACTCAAAAAGGGTGGTTTTTTAAGGACTATGAAACAAAAATATTAAAAATATATTTCTATAAAAAAGAGTATATTCTTTTAACCGATATTACTTGATTAATCAATAATTTTCTATTGAGTTAAAACACAATTTTCTCCCTTTCCTAAAAACTTAATTCTTTTAATTGCGTCACCTTTGAATTAAAGGAGAGATACTAAAATTCTGTTCATTGCATTTTGTGCCTAAGCATATTTTAATCAACAAAAAATACAATATTCCACCGATCTCAGTTTTTACTACGTTTTGTAACTAGAACTAGGACTAGAAACCGCGAAACAGCGGTCAAAATTAACCGATGTTAGTGAAACCTAGCTATTTCTGGCTCTAGTCTCAAGTGGGAACAGTGAATCGGGTGTAAAAGCCACCGTTATTTCTCGCTTCTGTCCTCCATAGAAAGAGACAAAGGATGAGTTAAGCTAAGGTTAAAGTTACGCGACGTTGGTGAAACCGGCCCTCGGACTCGGAAGACACGTCGGGTACATAAAAAAGTACCCACGTGCGATCACGCGCGCGGGCGTGCAGACACGCGGGCTTAACTGCGTATACGACATGTACGTCGGAGGGTTATAGGGTGAGCCATGAGAAGGAGAGACACACGATGCAATTTGATCTCTCGCGTGTGCGAGAGAGCGGCGCGGTGGCGACGGCGATGCAACGCGCGGCTGACGTCACCACCGAAATTCTCCGTCGCGGATCGGACATGCGCGCGGACAGACAATCTGGCGTCTAGACGTACCAAAATAAATAATGCGCGGTGCCTCGCCTCGCCAAGTCAAATTGTTGTTTCGCACACTGGTAATACCCGTCGTTTGTCGTCCTTGTCGGTAACGCGTTCCCTCCGCCTCCTGTTGGGGGATGCTTACGGAGAGACATCCGGATCAGAGTCCCTCCGCTTGATGCATCACGCAATGCGTCGATCAGGCTGCGGAGCCGCAGTAAAGAAACTTCCTTCTGCCCTCGCTTGCTGCCGTATCGTTGAGGATTATTTTCAAAACCTGGCGCGCGTTGATTAATTCAAGAATGACAGAGGAATTTCAACTATTTGAACACCGGGTTGTTTGAATGTTGTTGAAAATTAATACCGCAATGGGTCCTGCAGTAGTAGGAGGAAAAAAAAGAGAAAAAGGAAAGAAGAAAAAAAGAAAGATCGAATGCACCGCGGTGGATTTTTCGCAATCACGATGGGACTCGGATCATAACAAGCGGTATAATACGTCCGACAGTGTTTCTTGGAATTATTTTCATAGCCCGGGGGAATGGATAACATGCGAGGAACGTCGGCTGTTTGATGGCGACGCAGACAACATCGGGGAGAGAGCAACACATCGCGGCAGAAAAATCCGCGCGTAAACATCGAGCTCCCGGTCTCTCGGAGAACGTCGTCTCACCTGGCGCGTTGAGTTGAGTCGCGCGGCTCTCGGCGCGGTGCATCCGAGATACGCCTTCCCTAATGACAGAGTCTTCTTTCCTCTAGGGCCTTTTCTCTCTCTCCCTCTTCTTCTTCCCCCGAGACAAGGGACGTTCGAATGTGAATTTAAGACGCTCTGCCCACGCGCGCCAAATTATTCCGCCTTATGCCCGTTTCCTCCGATCAGAATTGTAAAAAAAAGGAAAGAATTCCGCAGCGAGATCGGACCATCAGCGCGCAGCGCGCGGCACGAGGACTCGCGAGAGACGGCTGCGG